TGGGTTCGCGGTACTTTGTTAATGCCTCACCTATTCCATCTTGACTGTGTAATTCTAATTAGAATAAGCTTCCTTCGCTTCCCCTCCCGGAGAGCGGATTCGAGCCACCTACCAACAGTGCTCCCATGCTGCCGCCTGCACTCCTGCCAAACTTAGAGTTCCTAGTTCCACAGCTACAGAAGTTATGAGATGAAGTTAAGGTTATACGCACGCCAACACACACACTGACACACACAACACAACAACGGCACACAGACCAATATTCTCACCGACACATTCCGATACACACACCGATACACACTCGACATACACACCTGCACACTCATCGACACATACACACATGTACACCGACCGCGGGTGTATGTCATTTGGCGCGGTCCTTCGCAGTCTTNGTAATTCTAATTAGAATAAGCTTCCTTCGCTTCCCCTCCCGGAGAGCGGATTCGAGCCACCTACCAACAGTGCTCCCATGCTGCCGCCTGCAGACCAATATTCTCACCGACACATTCCGATACACACACCGATACACACTCGACATACACACCTGCACACTCATCGACACATACACACATGTACACCGACCGCGGGTGTATGTCATTTGGCGCGGTCCTTCGCAGTCTTTTTGCCATTGGGGCGCCACCCAGACAACGCAATTTCTGCGTCAACCAACGCGTCCAAATTAGTCAGCCTCTCGATTTACGATTAACTATCGAACCAATTAGTGACTAAATCGATCAAAGTTCGGCCTATTGTCAGCTGCGTGGGTGGTCCCACTGATCGGATAGAATGTTTCTTAACGTAATCTTGGTGCAGCTTGTCAAATACATACCCTCCCACCTAAAAACACCCAGATTTTCCTCAACAAGCTTCAGGCACTTCAACCCAGTAGCGTCTGCGCCATGGAACCATTTGAAGTAAGAGTCTCTACACTAACATGTGTAATGTTTCTGCCATGGAAGCAGTTCTAGAACTGGTGAATCAGTATGAAAGCATGATCAACGTGCATGGATCCTCTGTTGGTCAGGTGATGTCATTGTTAAAAGAATGACTTCTTAGTTGCAAAATTCTCAGCTGGTCGAGAGAGTATTTCGAACAGATCAGAGACATAGCTATGGGGCAACGTCTGGCGCCTATTCTGGCCATAGCCTTTATGTCCAAAATTGAAGCGCCTGTTTTGAAACATCGCCCCATGCTCTACTGCCGCTACATTGATGACTGTTTCGTAGTTTGCTCGACGCAAGAACAGATGGACACGTGTTTTGACGTACTTAACGTACAATCCGAGCTCATCCGACTGACACGAGAACGACCCTATGGAAGGCGGCTTCCATTTCTGAATGTACAAGTGAGGCTGCACAGCGGGTTGCTTTCAACGAAATGGTGCAGGAAGACGGCAACAAGAATATCATCGTGCATTGCTACTCGGCTCATCCTTTTCAGACTAAGTGGGCCGTTGAAAGGAATATGTTCCGTACAGCAACCAGTGTCTACAGCGGAAAAGATGGGCGAAAAGAATCAGTAAAGATGGCACACGAAATAGCTGCGCTCAACGGCTACGTACATTCTTCGACCTCCCACAGGGAAAGAAATGTGGTCACTACCAGCACGCCCCG